CCCACATGTTATCTATCAGCCAGTTAGCTGATTGTGTGTCACTGCTGCTCTGCACACAGATACCGACACACAACTAACTGGCTTCTGTGTTTTTCTTGCAGCGAGGAAAAGGCTTTGCTAGCTCCTTTCGCGTGGACGTACCAGAGACTGCGTGAGTTTGCACAATTTCATCGTGACGACCAAGGGTGTAAAGTTTTCAGCCCATTTTGTCCTCCACTGCCCTCATCCCTCCTCGCTCAGCAAAAACAAAAAAAGAAGAAAATTTTACATGACTGCAAACAAAGTGAAGAAGAAAGAAACAAAACACTCGGAGCGCTGCCGGGTTGGACAGAGACGTGGGGAGGCTGTGGGGGAGGAGCACAGGTGGATGAAAAGCCTTACTGGAGATGGCCGTCGTCTCAGCGGGACTGAGAAGCTCACAGACGAACGATGGCGAGCCCCGTCACTGATCCCTCCATCTTTTTCCACTCTATGTGTGCCTGTTTACAGCACTGATGTATACATCTGTGAGGATAATGAAGCCAGATGAAGACTGCAGATGAACTAGGAAGGCAAACCCAACTGAGAGCCACCCAGAAAAACCACCACTCAGCCCTTTAGGCGTCGCAGAGACGCCGAGTTGTACAGGAGAATTTGTGCATTTCAGATGCAATACCACTGTTTTAGATTTTTCTATTCTTTTTGTGTGGTCAGGTCAAACTTTGTAAGAAAAGACTGTGGGCAGATTTTCAGTTTTTTTATTTATTTTTTTATTTATGCGTTTGGTTTTGGTTCAGCAGCCACGCGGCGGCTCCAGTCCGGCCCACGTTGTTCTGATGCGTCAAGTAGTTTCTGTCACGTGTGAGAAGTGTTTATTGTACTCTTTTAAAAGTTTGACGCTGAATATAAGCCTCTCTATATAAATCTATCTATATCTTCTCGTTCTGAAGGTGTGCTGCTTGTCGGCTGGTTTCTGATTCAGAGCTTTGATCTGTTTGCTGCCCCTGAACAAGGTCGCCGCTGTTTCCACAGCCGGAGACGTAAAAGAGACAGAACAGCCTTAGCAGATGTAAAACTCGACTTCTTATTGTTTGACATCATTTCATTATTTTTTCCACTTCAAGGTATTAATAAAGAGCATATCTATAAGTAAAATGGAGGTAATAATTTAGACTGATCCATGGTAATTCTGTGTCATTGTAACCAAAACTTTTAAGGGTCCATTTGTAAAGGAGTGCGACAAAAACACCATCAAATGCAAAGAGTGATGTACACGGTGCAGTCCAGTTTCTCCCTCACACACTGCAGACACACACACACTAATATGCCGACAATAAATGACAAAACTGGTAAAAACACCGTCTGTTGTTTTCGTGTGCTTGTTGTGAATGTGAACGCTGCTTCCTGCTCATTCATCGCAAATCTGATGCCTAATTAAAACACAGCATCAGTTAAGGCAGACCTGCCAAAGTTAATAAGGGAAACAAAGCTGCGTTTATTCAAATGACCTCAAATTAATGTAAGTGCGTTTATCCTCGGGCCAAATGATTCCTCTTCAGGAGCATCTCTGCGGCAACGAAGCAAATACAAAGGAACATTATGATGATTATATCCAGTGCTCTCTTGCTATAACCGCGCTGTTTCATCTTTGGTGCAAGTTTGCACGTTTTATTTTTCAGCGTATTGTGTTCTGCGTCCCGATTGGCTGTAGACCATCCCGTGCTGTGTCTCCTGTACAGGACAGAGTGCGTTCAGCTCGTCACATTTACAGAAATCTTTGATCGCTAGCAGTGTGACTCTGAAGTGCTGCACTGTATGATTGTACGTTTTCTCCCCAACAAACAACACTGTCGACGAAACGTTTTGCACCATCAGAGGTTCCTGCGGTCGCTCCTGACAGGAAGATGCTAACCATCACACAAAAAGTCAGACATGCTAAAGCTAGAAACTACTTTCAGACCATAAGGTGCATTATGAGTGAAAAGGAAACATTTACGTCAAACTTTACTCATCTCGTTCTTCTTGCTTCCTTTACTTCCGCACCATTGATCCATTAATGATTCATTGATGTTGGATTCTCTCACAGCTGCTCCATGTTTGGACCTGAAAACAGGGTTTGATTGTTGGTTTCATTTATAATACTGGACTTATGTTTCTACGAAGGTTTGAACTTTGAGAGTTTAAACAAGAGAAAAGTGTGAAAATGTTCCTGCCTGTCTGAGAAAAGAGTATAAAGTGTGTAGTGAGGGGTTTACAGCCTTAAACATCTATAATAATTGTAAAAAATAAAGCTGGTTACCTCGCAGATTTCACCCATCGCGGGTTATTTTTGGATCGTAACTAAACGAGGGGCCGCTGTTATAATTAAAATGATGTTAGTTTGCATTTAAATGTTCCAACAGCTTATATTTAAATTATCACTGAGATCATTTTCAATGTGCAGACGAGTGAAGTGTTTTTGTTTTTCTGCATAGTTACAAATTTTAATATGAGACAAAACTGAATGAATGCAAAAGGCAGCAGCCAAACCCAGCTGACATAATAAGGTATATATGTGTGTAAAGAACATGCTACCTCTCATTCACTCTTTAATTATCAACAATGAAATGAATGTACAGCTGTGAGGCAGATTGACCAATGAGTTTGGGGTCAGACTGGAGCTGTTTGGCAGATGATGTCACAGCACCCTGCAGGAGGTGGCAGTTTATCACAGACCTGTCGTTTGGTTACACGGTGGAGCTTTTTCAAAGCTTCAAGCAGGAGGTTTAAGAGCCCGTTCAGGTAAAACACTTTGGACCAAAGCTTTCCAGCTCTAATCTAAACCAGCATCAGGATTACTTTACCAAACACACAATAGCAGGTGAACGTGAGCTCGATGCAGTATTTTTAGTTTTTGAAAGAAAAAACATCAGCTTTATTGTCTTCGTTGTCATGTTCGCTCATTTTTAATCCACTTGTTTCTTTTCAGCTCTGCAGATTTAGAGCTCTCGCTGCATGTTTTCATCAGACTGAAGGAGATGTTGAAGCTGTAATCCAAGGTAGATTATAGTATTTACAGATGGTGATGAACCAATAACAAGGTAGACATCAGACTAAGTAATCTGCAGACTTAATCTTCCAGCACAAACTGAATATTCATTGATTTGTTCATCTGTCTTTGTTGGTGAAAACTACAGGGTGTATTTATATGGACGCACCGTAATAACATGGGAATGGTGACGTTGAAACCAAGCACACCATTGTTTTTCTTGTGACATTACCAATAAGTTTGATGTGTCACATGACCCTCTTCCTGTTGAAAAAACAAAAGTTGTATCCAAGATGGCCGACTTCTAAATGGCCACCATGGTCACCGCCCATCTTGAGGAGTTTGCCCCTCACACATACTAATGTGCCACAAACAGGACTTTAATATCACCAACCATTCCCATGTTATTACGCTGTATCCATAGAAATACACCCTGTATAAATATTCGAGGCAAACAGGGTAAATACGACAGAAACGTCTCACTTCGTAGGCTTCAGAGTGAGAAGTGAAAAATAGGACGACAAATAGCGAGTTGGCTGAGTGTGAAGACTGACCCCGGGCCTTTTGTTGCTGCGTAATGAGGGCAGAGCTATCAGAGCAGCGCCATTTAGATTGAGGACAATAGTTGAAGGAAGAGCAAGTTCAGTATAATCATATCTATTTTCTTGTTAAATGGAAGCTATTATTTTTGACCTCCACTCGACGCTAATCTCTGTCACAAACCAAAAAGTTTTAATTTCCATGTGCGTTTGTGCACACTCGGCTCCAAATGAGAAAAACCATTAGAGTATAATGAAAGATAAATTAAGAACAAAAAGGAAAGGCTTACAATTCCCCAAACAAATGGGAGGATTCGAGGAGAGGCGGTAAAATAAAGACGCCGTCGCCTCTCTATTTCCGGTTGGGCGGTGGGTGGGGGTGAGGAGGTAATTGCATAGCAAGTTTCAAAGTCACTGGCTTCACAAAGGCAAAGCGGATTAGAAGCCAACACTGAACTTTTTGTGTCAGAGCTCTCCTCTATTGCAGATGCTGCCGGACATCAGAAGACGAGTCGTCACAGCGAGTCGGGCTTGAATTCCCAGCTGAGGAGCACGGGTGGAAACAGAAGCACAGGCGGGTGGATGGTCTGTGTGAAGGTTGATTAGAGGCTCTTCAGATGTGGCTGAATGAATGATAGACTTTGGAAAAATCACATAATAAGAGATTTTGGCAGCTAAAGAGCTTTGCTCCTACTTTAGGCTCCACGCCCTTGGACATTAAGCAACTAATCAGGTGACAGTAGGCGCGCTCCAAGTGCATTCGCCTCATAGCTGCTCATAGCCTTCCTCACGTTACTGTTACCAAGGGGTTCTGTTTACGTGAGTTGAGTATTACAAAGTGTCGGCCTTACGTTGGATGGAGCAGCTCTACTGATAGTTCCTAACATCAGCTCATGGGTTCAGGCTTGGTTGTGTTTAGGTGTGGCTGCTGTGTGTGTGGCTGCTGTGTGTGTGGCTGCTGTGTGTGTGGCTGCTGTGTGTGTGGCTGCTTGCGTCCTTTGCTTTGACGCCTGCACCCCAGCACGCCACAGCAAAGACGATGGTGCTGCCAACAACAGGCTGGATTGTCCTGCGGAGACGTTTGCTGCCGGATACTCGGTGGTTGGTTGCGTCGTGTGTCTGGCGACACTCTCGATGGAGGACAATGAACGACATCTACCAATTTGGAACCACGATAACAGAGTTTGGGCTGGTTGGAGCTGGCTTGGACCTGGCTTATCGAAGAACAAGAAGCGGCTACAGCTGTTCAAAATCCCACAAGGCTGGCCGACATGATAGATGATTGGCTGTGAGTACTCAGACTGTGTTTTGAACGCAATATGGAGAAGATCTTGGAGAAGAACAATGAGAATTGAGAGAACTGGTGACCAGTGATGGACATTAGACCAACTGTAAAAATTATTCGCACTAAACCCAAACATTCACCATCTTCACTCATGCGGCCCCCCTGGCGCCAGCTGAAGGCTGCCAAGGTCGAAGGTGACTGGAACAACAAATTCTTCCCATGATAATAATAATAGTAATGGATTGGATTTATAAAGCGCTTTTCAAGGCATC